GGGCAGCGTAGAACAGGATTCCACAGCAGACAGACAGGCACTGCCGTGGAGATGTCTGTGAGGCCCACTCCAAGTTCCCAGGGGAGGGTGTGTGCTCAGGCAGAACTTGTGAGTCCCCCACCCCTGAACCAGAGCACCCTGTGTGTCCAGAAGCTGGGGACAATGACAGCTTGGTCCTGGGCATCCAGATTAAGTGGATGGGGCTCCAGGGACAAGACAGGGGCTGGTGGTTGGGAGAGGGGACACTGTGCTGATCTCCACCACAAATAAAGCCCACCCCAGGGTTCCGGATGCTGAGATCCATGCTAAGCTCAGCCCGCCACAGCCAGGCTGTCCCAAGAGTAGGTGTGGGTCCAGGGTGGGAGGGGGCGGGGGCACATGCCTCCCGAGCACCAGGTACCTGGTGCAGAAAGCCACTTCCAGAGCCTCTGGGCTCCACAGACCCAGCACCCACTCAGTGCTGTGCTCCACACAGGATGACCCAGGACCAAGCCCCCTGAATTCCCATAGAAGCCAATATGATGGCAGAAGCCCCCTGAAGCCCAAATTAGAAAGTGGCCCAGACCCCCAAGGCCTCTGGGGCCCTCCGGCAACCCCACAGACCTGGCCCACCGGCCTCCCTCTGACACGTCTCCCCTCTCACTTCCCCGCAGCATCCTGCTGGATGAAGAGGGGCACATCAAGATCACAGGTGGGTGCCCCCCGCTCTGAGCCTGCACCCTAGAGCCACCGAGACACCCCGTTCTCTTATGTGCCCCTCTGCCCGCTGCATTACCTGTGGACGTGGATGAGCTATGTGTCCACCATGAGCGTTTGGAGATTGTAATGGCCACAAGTTAAATCCCCCACACCTCTCATTTCTCCCTTGGATGCCCAGGCCCCTGGGGCCCCCTCCAGGCCCCTGGGGCCCTCAGCCACATGACGTTTCTGCTGGGTGCCAGGAAGGAAAAACAAACGGGGGGCACACTTAGTCTGTGAATGTCTGCTGAGCTTCCCCGGGCTGAGCTGCCGTCCTCACCCTAGGCAGGTTGCCAGGCCTTTGTCCAGAGCATCCCTGGGAGGTGGGGGGCCCGCGAGGCACAGCCCTCTTATCCCTCCAGGGACCTTTGGGCCAGTGCAGGTCCCTCCCTGCCAGTAGACCCCCCCTCACAGCCCGCCATCCTCGTGGCCCTGCTGGCAGACCCCTTACTTACTGATGCCAAGGGTCCATCAGAGGAGAGTCTGATGGTCTGAGACAGCCCCATTTACAGTCCCACCCGATCAGCGCCTGAACCAGACCCCCACAAGGGTGTCGGCAGATGGGTTCCTTCTGGAAGCTGCTGGGAGAACCTGGCGCGGCTGCCCACATTCCTGGACCCGGCCCCTCCTCGTCACTCACCCTGCTCTCCTGCGTGGAAGGGACCAAGGGGTCCCACGGGCTACCCACTCTGCAGGGCAATCTCTCCCTCTCGTGGCCTTTACCCCATGGGGTGCCACGGAGTAAAACGGATGTCCGTGGACCCTGGCCTGGCCACCAGCCTAGCCCCCAAGGGTACCCAGACGGCCTGGGGCCGGCTGCCCCTGAACCAGACCCCGTCCCCGGAAGCCTGCCTATCCCCCTCCACTAGAGCCTGACCCCCAGCAGGAGGCCAGCCCTGGAGTCCCTGGCCCTCCTCTGGCGACAGTCCACATTGCTCCCTCGGGCCCCCACCACCAGCCGTGAGGATAGCCTCATCCTGGGTGCTCGCCGAATTGCTGCCCGAGCCAATTGGCGCTGACAATCTAGGCTTGCTGTGCCAGGTTTGTGAACGCAGGCCGGCTTCCCCAGAACCCTTGGTTAGGGCATCCAGGATCACTCACTCACTCACTCGCTCGCTCGGGTATGGCCTGTGGGTGAGCAGTCCCTGCCCTGCCCTCGGTGGCAGGGTCTGGAGCCAGCACTTCCTGGTCTCCTGTCCAGATTTCGGCCTGAGCAAGGAGGCCGTGGACCATGACAGGCGGGCCTACTCCTTCTGCGGGACCATCGAGTACATGGCGCCGGAGGTGGTGAACCGGCGTGGCCACACACAGAGCGCCGACTGGTGGTCCTTCGGCGTGCTCATGGTAAGTGGGGAGTCCCCCGTCCTGGGGTCCCCTCTCATTGTGGGATACCCCTCTCTGTGACTGTGGCCCCCACACCCAGGGGCTGGGCCCCAAGACCCTGGAGAGCCTGGAAGAAAGGACATGTAATAGGAGTCCGGCCAGCACCGTCTCTACCTGGGGCGCAGCACGGGTCCTGCCTCCCTGTGCTGCTGTTTATCCAGGCTGAATAGAGAAACAAATCCAGAGACACCATGTGTGTGTGTCAGAGAGCTTTATGTCGAAGAGTATATTGAGAAAACATCCAAGCCCAGGGCAGATCGAGTCCATAAGTCCCATATTAGTCCATATGTCCAATACAAGTCCATAAATCTCTCTTTAGACTCACGCAGCACATGCAATGATGCCGAATGCAGGAAGATCACAGGCCTGTGGGTGGAAAGTCCCGTGGATCCAGTGGCGGTGGAAGCATCTCCAGGGCTCTGGCTGCCATCAGCGTGGCTCCATGTGGCTCGTCCACAGGAAGACCGAGCAGAGAGAGTGTGTGTCCTGCCTCCAGGGAGGAAGAAGTTCCAGAATCCCCATGAGAAGGCCACGCCCACAAGGAGGGATCGCTCAGGCTGTGAGCTGATGGACAGGCTAGACTCCACCCCTTCATTCTTTTATCAAGTTAACCTGAACTCAAGTGTAGTTTCCACAGCCACAGACCTGTCACGGCAGCAAAGCCCAGTCGCTGCCATCCCTGTGCGCCCAGCGCTTCTGGCCCACAGGACCCCCGAGTCCCAGGAAGATCCGCCTACATTTCCAGGGGAGCAGACGGCCTGGGCTTTTCGCCCACAGAGCTGCTGGTGGGTTTGAGCCGCCAGCCTGTCGGTGAGCAGGGAGTACTTACACCAGGTGCCAGTGGAGTGCCTTGATCCAGCCCGACGAGGGAGGACCGTTTCCGTCTCCTAGGATGCTCATGGAAGCTAGACTCTGAAAAAGGAAGCCCGAAGGGGAGCCACAGATGCATTTGGACCGTGAGGCTGGGGAAGAGCACAGAGTCCCAAAAGACCAAACACACCTGTCTTGAAGAAGTGCAACCAGAGTGGCCCCGGGAGGCCAGGATGGGGGAGACTCGGTCTCCCGTGATTCAGACATGTTGTCAGGAGAGGCCAGTCCCTGGAGAAGGCCCTCACGCTTGGTCAAGTGCAGGGGCGGCGGAAAAGAGGAAGACCCTCGGCGAGATGGACGGACTCAGCGGCTGCAGCTCTGGGCTCAGGCACAGGGACCGTGGCGCGGCCGGCCCAGGGCCAGACAGTGTTCTGCTCTGTCCACCGGGTCGCTCGGAGTCGGAACCGACTCAATGACACCCAACACCAGCGTTCGTGGGAACATGGAATCAAAGATTCTGGAATGTTCCAGGGGCCTTTGGAAGTCTCTTCATACACCCATTTCCTCAGCCCTGCCATTTCTGTCCTGGTTACCTGCTGTATGGATGACGCCCGGTCTTGGGAGAACCTCTTGCCCACGTGCATGTATTCCAGTAGCACCCCTAGGCCTCCAGCGATAGACCCGGCCCCTCGCTCAGGGACGCCCCCCAGCAGAGAGGGTTTCCGACACGCAGGGAGAAGTCAGCACGTCAAACCGAGTGTTACAGAGAAAGCATAGGAAGGAGAGGGCGCCAGGCGCTGTGGCTGCGGGGTGGTGGGCATGGCACTCCCTAGGTGGTGGCATGGCACTCCCTGGGTGCTTGTGCCTGTGCGCTGCTCACTGGCTTCCGTGATGCAGAGGAAACACACAGGACAGGCTTTACAGGAACACCCAGGGCATCCCACGTCTCAGCAGGTCACAGAGCACCAGCACGTAGGCTCCAGCTGGAGCCTCAGCCGGCATGGGAGATGCCGGCACACGCCAGTCAGATCTGGGTCCCCTGAGGCCTGGTATCCCTGCCTCCCGTTCCCCCAGAAGCCAAGCTGCTGTGCCGGCCGGGGCCATGGGCTCCAGAGCGCAGATGCAGCGTGAGGCTCGGGCAGAATGGGCCCCCTGCTCCCTCTGCTCTGCGCCCCGGGGTCCTGGCCAGCATCCAGGAGTGGCAGGTGATGGTGGCCCCCAGAGTTTTGGAGGTTGCTGGCGTCCCTCTCAATCAGATAAGTGGAGTCCTGCCCCCATGAGGGTGTTGGTGCAGGACCTCCTGCACACGTGGGCTGATGTCACTGCCCCTCCTGGCAGCTGTGGAGCCAGGAAGGATGGGCCCCAGTGCATGGAGATGCCCCCTGGCTCTGTCCCCCTGACCCTGGCACCTATCAGAGGACTATTACCCTTCTGTGCTTGACTCCTTAGGAGCTCTCGTCTGTGTCAGCTCCCAGCCGGGCAGGGGGCTTATCAGCGCCTGCCTTAGCCAGTCAGTTTGGGTGTGGGGTCACCTAAGCGTCACACGAGCCCCGGAGGCTCATGTCCCCATGTCCTTTTGCTCGGCAGTTCGAGATGCTGACCGGCGCCCTGCCGTTCCAGGGGAAGGACCGGAAGGAGACCATGGCTCTTATCCTCAAGTGAGTCCTTGTGCCCGCGGACGGCCCCACCCTCGCTAGGCCCCAAATCCATCGACAAAGAGGAAATGTGTCTTGCAAAGTGCCAACCGACACCTCCGGGGGGTTGCACCATCACAGCCAGCAGTATTTGTTCTGTGGATGACCTCAGTCCTGTGAGCATTGACGGAGAACAAGATCATTCTGGAAAAATGGGTCCTGTCCCAAGAGACGGGGCCAGGACTTCTCGTAGTGTGGCCGCAGGATGGCAGCAGGGCACTGAGAACCTCCCGGAGCTGCAATGTTCTCTGAGCCCCAAATCGGTGACATCTCCATCACAGATTGCCAGAGGACAACCAGAATGGCAGGAGGGATGAGGGCACACTGCCTGGCATGAGCGGGAGGAGACTGTTGGGGTGCCCAGGAGCTGTAGGCTTTTGTGTGATGCTCTCCTGGTTAGAAAAGAGCCTTCCCTCCAGAAAGCTGTGTGGGCAACGGAGACAGGATTCCGATGGTGGGTTTTCAAAGAACTCGCAAACAGCTCTTGGCTTAAATGTCTCAATGCAGTCAATGCCAACCGCTGGAACCTGCGTCAGGGAAAGGGTGTTAGTGTCCTGGGTCACTGAGAGTTAACAGGGCCCTGCTGGGGTGGGGACGTTGGGCGGGACACCATATTCTGACTCTGCTTCTGTGTTCCAGAGCCAAGCTAGGCATGCCTCAGTTCCTCAGCGCCGAGGCTCAGAACCTGCTGAGAGCCCTCTTCAAACGGAACCCCGCCAACCGACTAGGTGAGCCCAAGCCCACGCCCACTTGCCTGATGGGTGAGCCTTAGTCCATGCCCATTCGCCAGCCAGGTGAACCCTAAGTCCACAGACACTCGCCAGTCAGGTGAACCCTAAGTCCACAGACACTCGCCAGTCAGGTGAACCCGAGCCCATGCCCTCTTGCCGGCCAGGTGAGCCCTGAGCCCATGGCCACTTGGGTGCCATTGACACGGCTGCTGGGGGCCCTGTCCAGCACAAGAAGCCGTGCCCCTCCTGAGCCCTCGCCCTGGAATCTCAGCTGTGGTTCTGGGTTGGTCCATCTCAGGGAGAGTGGCCCCGGCCTTTCTGACCCTCTGCTCTTTCTGGGACTGGGCTTCCCGGAAGGGCTCAGTCTCTTCTAGGGATGAGGCATCAGGCTTCTCGCTCAGTCGTCCCCGTCCCCCCCCCCCCCAGCTCCATGCGGGCTTTCTTATCACTCACCATGTGTCAGCGGAGCCTGGGGTCTGTCACAGGGAGGAGACCCCATAGCATGCTGTTGGACACCCAGGACACAGGTCTATGTAGACTGGTGTCGGGCTGCCTGCCACAAAGCCTGTGGTTCAAACCCACCAGCCACTCCTTGGGGGCAACAGGAGGCTGCCTGCCTCCGTGAAGACTCACAGACACAGGAGTGGTCCTGCTTGACCTGTAGGATCACCCCGAATCAGAACCAACATGGTGGCCATGGTGTGGGTTTGGGTGTCCATGTGGAGGGCTTCTGACAAGTCACACCGCGTGTGGTGGAAGGATGACTTTGTCCCGTCTGTACTCAAGTCATTGGAAAATTCCCATCACCGTGTCCAGAGAACACACCCCTGACCCAGGGCACCCCACCCCAGGGGGCTCCTGGCTGTCCATCCGACTGAGTGCAGGCCCGCTGGAGCTACTGGGGTGGAAACGGGGTCAGAATCAGGGATCGCTCGCAGAGGTGGGCTGAGCTTTGCCTGGGGCGGAGCAGTGAAGGCTCCCAGCTCTCCCTGTGTGGCCTCTGTGCCCCTCCCTTGGGACCAGAACACCACGCCGACTAGGGGCCTTTCAAAGACAGGGTTCCATTCTCAATTCCTTCCACTTCTCCATGAGACCCCCGTGCAGGAGTAAGGAGCCCCGCTGGGTGCCATGAAGGCTGCGTGTTGGGCTGCTAACCGCATAGCCAGCAGTTTGAAACCACAAGCTGCCCCTCGGGAGGAAGAGGGGGCTTTCTACGCCCATAGAGAGTGGCCATCCCAGCAGCCCTGCCCTGTCAGGCAGCTGTCCGTAAGAACAGCCTTGGTAGCAGTGAGTTTGGGACTTGGGCTTGATGGAGCCTTAGGACCCTCCATCCCCTCCTCTGACCTCACCCTGACTGATTGCATCCGCAACACCCGCACCCGGAATTGTGTGTCAACATGTCTTCTGGGGGATGCATTCTGCCCTTGGCCAGGCCATCCAGACAGGTGACCAAGGAGGACGGAGAGTCCGGCCTTCCCTGCTCCTGTGGGCAAACCTGCCTGAGAGAAATCAAAGGAAGAGCCGGAGCCCCCAGGCCACAGGTGCGGAGCGAGGCCTACCGGAGCTCTTCTGGGGAGAGAGATTAAGGAGTAGCGATGTGTGGACAGCCGCCTCCTGTGGGAGGTGTTGGGAGACAGGTCAGAGTGGGGGCAGGCAGTCCACTTCTCCAGGAGTGGAGAGGAGATGCTTCACCCCGTCAGAGGTGCTGTCTTGGCCACCACCTCAGCTCCTTTGTAACGTGACAAGGCCCCAAGGGTGGCAGCTGGAGGCTCTGGACCCCCGGAGGCTGCACACAGTCGCTGTGCAACGTGGAGTGCGCTCGTGGAAGAGTGTGCACACGAACAGAGGGTGCTCTCATTGCCAGTTGGCACAGGGCATCACCGGGAAGACTTCTGCTCGGCCCGGGAACAGGGTACTCCGTGCCGGGAGTGGCAGGTGGGACGGAGGGGCTCCGAGGCACAGGAACCACCCCGACGAAGTCACCGGCGCTGAGGAGCGTAGCAGGGTCCGGGACAGGCTACAGGCACCCCGTGTGGCCATCACCTCGGGGACGTGGGATGCTGGAGGTGCAGCGGGAGAGATGACAGTCCTGCAAGGTGTCTACATGGTCCTGAACTAGAGCTGGCCCGTCTGGGCCCAGCAGTGCGCAAACAGGTGGAGGGAGCGGGTGTGTGTTGGGATGGGGTCTCAGAGGGCCACCTGCCCATGCAGGCAGCAGCCACCTCTCTGGCATGATGACAGAGCCCCGAGACAAATGCTCCTCAACTCCTGAGATTTCCGCTAACAGCCTCCCCATGGGACACACACTCAACTGGGAGAGGTGACGAGCAGGTGCACTAGCAAAAGTCAGACGGGAACACCAGATAGGAGAAAAGAAATCCCCTCACCCACCCCAGGCCCCTGAAGAACATGGAGACACGGGTGGAGAGAGGAGCTGCCAAGCCCTTGTTCTACGTGGACCAGCGACCAGCATCCGTGGAAACCACAGTCAGGAACCCAGACCATGTACGGACTGGGCACACGTGCTGCACAGACACCTCTGAAATCCTGAAAAGCCATGGCACGTTGGGGGCAAAGGGGAACACCAAATCAGAGTCTTTCCGATTAGGTGGGAGTCCGACGTCGAATAAGACAGACCCGAGAAGAATCGCTGCGGTTGAATCCATGGTGCTGGCGAAGATTACCGACGGAACCATGGACAAACCGATCGTCTTGGACAAAGCACAGCCAGGACGCTCCTTAGAATGAGATGCCTGACCTCACATGCTCTGGACCTATCTCAGGAGAGACCTGTCCCTGGAGAAGGACATCCTACTCAGTAAGGTAGAGGGGTGGTGAGAGAGGAAGGCCCTCCAGGACAGACAGAGTGACCACAACCGTGGGCTTGGGCACAAGACCGATGGGTGGTATTTTGTTCTGTTGCCGGAGGATGACTGAGAGTCAGATGGACATCAGGACAGTATCTGCCAGCCGCCTGGTAGACAGCGGGTGAGGTTGGGCTGCTGGCTAAGGGCAACGTCAGCAGTTCAAATCCAGCAGCCGCTCCACAGAAAGAAGATGAGGTTGTCTGCTCCAGTCAAGCCTTACAGACATGGGAACCATAGGGGTCCACTCTGCTCTGTCCCGTAGGGTCACCGAGCCAGGACGGCCTGGATGTCAGTCGTTTATTCAGTGCATGGCGGATCCCTGGTGGTGACGGGGGATCAGCACTGGGCAGCTCACACCCGCCAGCCACTCTGTGGGAGAAAGAAGAGGTTGTGTGCACCAGTCAAGGTTCTCAGACCCAGAGCCCCCGAGGGCAGCTCCCACCGTGCTGTGGGGCCGCCAAGGGGGCAGTGGGTGTGGTTTCAGGTTTCCCGGTCTCGGGCTGGCTGTGCTGGCTTAGGAAAGGCAGGGGGGGTCCTGGTAAACCTAGGTCCCCCATCACTAGAGGCGGAATCCGGTGACGCCAAGAGCCCCCTTCCTCGTCGCAAGTTCTGCTCTGCCTGTTCTCCAGGAGTCCGGCATCACAGTGATGCCGGGGGTCTGTGAGTGAGGGGCGTGGGCGTGCCGGTGGACATAAAGAGCCTGCTACCACCAAGGAACCCCACCCACCCACTCTATAACTGTAGGGCCAGGGCTTGGAGGAGACAGTCTCTGTCCGACTAAGGGGCTGCCGGGCCTCTGTGCACCCTGGGAGGAGAGCGAGGTTCTGGGAAGAGGTGGGGAGGTGGGAGGTCCCTCGGGCAGAGCATCTCCACCTCCAGAGGCTGGTCCGGAGCACAGAGTGTGAGTAGCGTGGGCTCAGGCGGGGCTGCCTGTGGAGCAGGCTGACCTGTCCTCCCAGGTACGTCTGAGAGACAGTTGGAGAATGCACCTGGACCATGCTGGGCTGTATGCCTCCGATTGAAGGTGGCTGTAGAGCAGAACAAGGTGGGGGACGGCAAAGGGCAACCCCAGGCTCCCCAAAGGGCCCAGGGTAGTCCACTCTGGTGCGAGTACTAGGACGTGGCGGCCCGTTCATACCAGGTGCCTAATGAGCGTTGACAATGACCTGGGTGGTGTGGGCCTGGCGAGCACATGCAAACACACCAAGTCTTTCCTTAGACCCTCTGCCCCCAGCAGGCTGCACGGCTGGACAACTAGTCAGGCAGACAGGGACCTTGCACCCTGTGTCCACCTGACAGCTGTCCCTGCAGCCAGGCCTCCCTGTGGCTCCTTTCATGTGTGACAGCAAAGTCCAGGGTGTGGGGGTGGGGCTGAGCATGCTCCTGACACTCCCACTTCACACATGAGAGGGGTCCTGTCTGTCTGAGCTGCGTGGACCCCTTACCTCACATACAGGAAGTCACCCCAGCCAGCCCAGCCCGTAGTCTGACCCTCTTCCCTTGGCAGATAGCTGCTGCGCGGTGGGTCACCCGGAGCCTCAGGATCCTGGCCCTCTGGCCTCCCTGTGGCCGACTGTCTCTACCTCCTTCTCAGGCCTGGAGGGGGATGGGGTGCATCAGGACCGCTCCCATTCAGCGGCCGGCCGGCCGGGGCCTGGTTCTAACCATCCTCTTCTGCCTGTCAGGGGCTGGCCTGGATGGGGTCGAGGAGATAAAGCGCCATCCCTTCTTCGTGACCACAGACTGGAATGTAAGCCCCCCACCTAGGGGGGAAGCGGACCCTGCAGGGTCTTTGTCCAGGGGAGGCCCTTGTGGCCTGCGGGCCAGGACTGGCTACCACGGCTCTGGGGGCCTGGGAGGGACGGACTGCCTGCAGAAGCCCACCACTGACCTGTCCACCCTGTCTGCCAGGTTAGCCTTCAAACCCCACCTTTCCTTTGATGCTATTGATCCTGCAAGCCTGACCTCATCCCCAGGGCAGCCAGGACCCCACCCCTAGGGCATCCACCAAGTGTGCCCAGTTGCTGTGGGTGTGCCCCTTTGCTCAACTGTCCCCCACAGCCTGCCCTGTGCAGGCATGTCCTTGGAGCCCGGGCAGCACCAGGACAGAGCAGAGCCCCCACTGCTCCCCCTGAAGTCTGGTGGCAGGTCCCAGGTAGCCGGTCCCCTGGGCCTGAGCTGGGTCCCCACAGCCTCAGCACACAGACTCAGGGAGTGGAGGTTGAGAAGCTGGTCTGCCCTGTGCTTCCCCAGAGCCCACACCTCAGATTAGCCGGGGGGGTGGGGGGGTGTAGGGGCAGATGTGGGAGGGAGGAGGTACCCAAACCAGTGCCCCGCCTCATCGCCGTCATCATACCATCCTGGGGGCGTTCTACAGGATGTTAAGAACGAGGGGTGGTTGCCCTGTGAGGGTTTCCTGGAAGACACATGTTGTAGCTGAATATCATCGGCATACCATCCCCCACCCGATTCCCACTGGCCGGTCCCCACTGTGCCAGTGCCAGGTGCCTGGGCATGGAAGCTGAGCCTGGGTCAGGAGGTGGCCCGGCCGCCACAGCCTGAGCCTCTGCCCTCCCCTAGAAGCTGTACAGGAAGGAGATCAAGCCTCCCTTCAAGCCAGCAGTGGGCAGACCCGAGGACACCTTCCACTTCGACCCCGAGTTCACATCCAGGACCCCAACAGGTCTGTGCCCGCGAATGCGTCCCCCCTGGGAGCCCCGGGGTGACACACTGGTGAAGTGTGGACCTTGAACGAGGAGGCCGGCGGTTTGGCCCTTCCTGCCCACCCCCCCACCCCCTAAAGAAGCGGCAGGTGGCCGCTCTGCCTTGAACTGGAGATTCACCGCGGGGCTTCCAGTTTCGTGTGGTGTGCACAGGCACCCTGGTGGTGTAGGGGGGTGAGCATGAAAGTCTGTGGTTCAAACCTGCCCGGTGCCAGAAAGCCTTCATGACCTGCTCCCAAGAGAGGGCAGCTCCATGGAGTCCTGGCCGGTCACCGTGAGTCGCATCGACTCAACACAGAGTAGGCTTTGTGGGGCCTAGTGGGTTATGCACTGAGCTGCAAATCCCAAGGTCGGCAGTTTGAACCCACCAGCTGCTCTCCAGGGGAAAGACGAGGCTGCCTGCTCCTGCCACAACTGGTAGTCTCAGAAGCCCGCAGGGGCTGCAGGGTCACTGAGCCAGCATCGACCGATGGCAGTGTGGTTCTGAGTCTCAGAGGCGGTGAGCGAGGCTTACAGGCAGAACCCTCGCCTCCCACAGGGGAGACCCAGGCTCAGGCCCTGGCCATGCCCCTCGTCCTCCGCCACGCCTGCTTTTGCTGCAGGCTAGTAGTACGTGACTCCCGGCAGAGCTTCCTGAGACAGACCAGGAAGAAGGGCCTGGCCACCACCTTCCGACAGCTAGTCACTGCCCACCTGTGGGCCACCGAGGTCCAGGGATGGCGCAGACTGGGCAGTGTCAGGTGTCCTCGTGCAGGGGTCCTCATGAGGTTGACTGCCCAACTCCTGCCCCTCAGGGTCCTGCTCTGGGCTGGCCAAGGCAGTGCCCCTGGCGGGAGAAGACACGAGGTGCAGGCCTGCCTATAAGGACAGGAAATGGCGCTAGGGCTTCTGGGTGTTTACTGGACCCAGACAGCACTTCCTCCTGTGGGGCCTGCGGGTCTGTCTGTGGCACGTAGGTCAGTCTGCTGTGTATGTCTGTCTGGTGAGTGGGTCTGTCTGTGGGGTGTTGGTCTGTCTGTGGGGTGTGGGTCTGTCTGCTGTGTGCCTCTGTCTGTGCTATGTGCGTTTGTCTGTGGTATGTGGGTCTGCCTGTGGTATGTGGGTCTGTCTGTGGTACGTGAGTCGGTCTGTACTGTGTGGGTCTGTACTCTGTGGGTCTGTGCTGTGTGGTTCAGTCTGTGGTACGTGGGTCAGTCTGTGGTACGTGGGTCTGTGCTGTGTGGGTCAGTCTGGGGTACATGGGTCAGTCTGTGGTATATAGGTCAGTCTGTGG